CCGTCCAAAGATCCTTCACCTGCATGAAAGGCAGATGAGTGACCGGCCTAGTACTCGAAAGGGGGGCCTCTCCGCACCACCACTCATCCCAGAATCTAACCTCCCCAGAGCCCAAGGTCCAAAAAAGTGCTTTGCACACGCCTACCCACAATGGTGAGCCGTCTCCACTGTCGACTATCACGAGCAGTGGTCGTCACCCTACAAGGATGGGCAGCTCCAACGGGACAATACTTCCGGTGGAGGTACTAAGCCCAAAGAGACTTGCCCTCCCTAAAACGCCACCACATCTTGTAAGAAAATGCAATGACAATATTCGAGAAGCGCCGAATTCCGAGGCCACCCTCTGAATAAGGCCGACAAGCGGAGTCCCACTTCACCCAGTGGGTCTGCCGCCGGCCTCGCGAGCCCTCACCATGGCTCCAAAAATAGCGGGCTAAGATCTGATCAAGCTCGTGAATCGTGGACAAATAGGGGTCGAGAACCGCGAGAAGGTGAAGATGGAGGGCGCAAAGAGTGCTCTTTATCAAAGCAAGACGGCCTCCGAAGGAAAGGTGTCTATGCGACCAACCGGAAATCCGTTCGATCATCCTCTGACGGACGTCTACGAAAAGCTCATGCGATATATGACCCTTGTACAGGGGGGACCCAAGGTAAGGGGTGGGTAAGTATCCCCGAGCGAAACCAGTGCGCTCGTAAAATCGGTGAGCCCACTGGTCTACAATGTGGTGGTCCATGATAAAAGTGCTCTTACTGACACTGACAAGCTGGCCAGAAGTCTCACTATAGTGGTCCAAGAGACTCATGAGATCGACTAGCCCATTATCATTCGCACGAGTGAAAATGATAATGTCATCCGCGTAAGATAGGTGGGATATGGGAGGCCCACAGCCACGCGTACTTAGGTCATCCTCGGGGTATCGCGAATGAAGCTGTCAAGACAGCGAGAAAGATAGTCAGCCACCAGAACAAAAAGGGAAAGGGATAAGGGATCCCCCTGACGCAAGCCACAGGTAGATGGGAAGAAAGTTGTGGGGCTACCATTAATCAAAACGGAGAACGTGCAGTGCTCCACCCACGCCTCCACAAAGCTAATCCAACGATTGGGGAATCCCAACCGAAATAGTACCTCCCTGAGAAATGACCACTCGACCCTATCATATGCCTTAGCAATATCTAGCTTCAGCACGAGGTTCGGGGTTCGTGTTCGATTCACTGTTATGTAGTGAAAGCACTATAGTGTGTATGCCTTCTTAAAATCTCTCCTCAATTTTTCTATAATGGCGATGAGTACAAGGATGTCCTGGTACAAAGTAAAATACCACTCAATAAGGACACATTGATTCAATCAATTTTGCTTGTGCTCGTAGTAGTGTTATGTTTGTCCCGTTTTTGTTGCTATTTTGTGTTTCATTTCCCCCGTTTTAGGTCTTTTCTTAGGCCTTTTCGGTCCGTCTAGTCTTTCTAATGCTTTTATCTTCATTTTAGGTTGTATAGTATTTTCGCTGCCTTTTTCTCCTTTTCTCTTGTGTTTTTTTTTTTGTGTTTGTTCGATTGTGGTGGTTTTCAGGTTATAAATGACGAAGCAACGCTCGTGTCCAGTTCTTAGGATTCCAAGTTGGCTCGTGTGACCAAAACAAGCGGAGGTTGAAACTACAACCCGGGCAGAACCCGGGAAATGCTAGACGAGAGCTCACGAAACCAAAATATCAAATTTTTGGAAGCAGCCCAGGCTTAGCGCCGCTAAGACATGGGGGATAGCGGCGCTTTGGATTTTCCCCGCGGACAGAGATTGGCAGTTTACATGCCTTAGCGGCGCTAAGACCTTAGCGCCGCTAAGGTCTTCTTTATGTCTGATGCGATTTTCATGGGATTCAAAAATGGGAAGTGATTAGATCGATTGGGGGGCGTTTTTTCCATTATTCAGACTTCGTTTTCTTTACTTTTGAGACTCTTAGAACATTTTTTTCTCTTGGTTTTGGCTTGGATTTAATGTTGAAGGTGAAAAACCTCAAGATTTAGCTTTTGGATTTCGTTTTCGGATTTGGATTGCTTTTGTTTTCGACATTGATTTTTCTTATCAATCGTAAGCACCCTTTCTCATTTAATTATGATGTTTTGTGTTTGGATTGCTATGTATTCTTGTGTTGAAATTGCAATGAGTGGCTAGATTCGTTAACTAGGGTTAGGGGATAATTGTTCCGGTTCAATTTTGTTTTTGAGAATGTTGATTGCTCTATCTATTCGAGTTATTTTAAACCTATGGTTAGATGACTGATCACCATCCTAATTAATTTAATCGATTTTAGAACTGAAAGGGGAGAAATCGATCGACCTCGGCTCGTTTAGAGTAGGCTTGTTCGGAGATGTATTGCCTATGTGCTAATTGACTTGATGATTGTTCGTTTATGTTTATTCTCTTGTTTCGTGAGATATTGAGGATGAATCTCTAGATGAATTGGTCTATAACTCTGTTAGCCGAGTAATTGATTCCCGCTAAATGCATTGAGAACCGGAAACGATTGTCCCTGATACCCTAGTCCCTTTAAACTATTGGAATTTGTGTTTGAGCTGTGAGTTTGGAATTGATTGTCTTGCTTTCATAATTACTTGCTTTCCAATTAGAAGTTGTTAAATCAAACCATCAATCTTGAATTAGAGTGTTTAGGACTTTCATTTATCATTTCGTGTGATTGAATATACGTGCAAAATAATCTGGCCGACCTTCCTTGTGATACGACCCGGTGTTCGAATCTCTTGATTCTACTCCGGTAAAAATACTTACACCAAATTGGTGCCATTGTCGGGGAGGGTTTATGACTTATTTTGTGCGCCTATTCATTTTATTTTCAGTGTTTCTCTTGTTTTTGTGATTTCTTGATTTTTGTGTTTCTTTTGTTTATTTCTTTGTTTAGTTGTAGTGATTTCCTTTAATTTGTTTTTCCTTGTTCTTTCTCTCGTCTATCTGGTGCCCATGACGTTTTTGTTGTTTGTGTTTATGCGCACCAGGAGTGGTCGTGTAATCATTCCAAACGACGAATCCATCCAACAAGACTTACGAGATTTACTAGCTATTCTTGCACCATTATCATTTTTGTCAGAAGACCAAACCGACATGGCACAGAATGAGCAAGATGAGAAGGTCAACAATCCTCCCAAGTCTCTTCTTCGTGATTTGGCTCAACCGGTTATTGGGCCAGTGACGTCGTGCATCAGACTAGGGATGGCAGCTCAAAACTATGAGCTCAAAACCATTAACTACAACAAACTTCCATCCTTCCATGGCCTACCTAACGAAGACCCGCTCCACTTTATACGAGAATTCTACAACGTGCTCCAAACCTTTCCACTTCACGGGCTGAACGAGGATCAGTTGAAGATGAGGTGCTTTCCGGATACTCTCAAGGACCGGTCTAAGGCTTGGTTTATGACACTTGCTCCAAATTCACTTACCACTTGGGAGAAAGTGTACTCAAAGTTCATCGGGAGGTATTATTCCCACCAGAAAACTCAAGAGCTGAGGTCCCAAATTGTCTCGTTTGCCCAACAACCGCACGAGCCACTTCACGAAGCGTGGGAACGCTTCAAGGACCTACAGAGGCAGTGCCCACATCACAATCTTCCTCCAGCCCTTTTGATGAACGGCTTCAACGATTCTTTCCACCAGAACCTTCAGTACATGGTGGACAATGCAGCTGGTGGAGACATTGGGGCGAGAACAGCGGAGGAGATGATGGATATCTTTGAGGCGTTGAGTTCTAGCTCGTCTCAAAAGAGCAGTCGAGGAAAGAGAGCGGTGGTCAATGAAGTATCTTCGGGACGAGACATGATGGCCCATAAGATAGCCGAGCTGACGGAGCAAATGCGGCTAATGAATGCTCAGACAATGCAGCCAGTACAAACCATGGCAGTGGACACATGCAGGGCGTGTGGAGCTCAAGGACATCGGTCAGAGGTGTGCCCATCGGCATTCGATCAGGACCTTGGAGAGCAATATGCCGACGTCAATGCTCTTCAAGGATATCAGAACCGGCAGCCCAACGACCCCTTCTCTAACACTTACAATCCAGGGTGGAGAAACCACCCACACTTCTCGTGGTCCAACAACAACAACACCCTCCAGCCACCTCGTCCAAACTTCAACTAACAGCAGCCTCGACCCAACCTCATGCAGCAGCAATCTCATCCCAACTTCATACCCCGTCTGAACTACCAACAACAGCAGCAACCAAAACAAAAAGCCCAAGGGTCCGGATCGAGCTCGTCAAACCAAGATGACAAGCTGGACAAGATCCTTCAGTTCATCACGAACCAAGATTCATCGATTAAGCGTCTTGAGAGGCAAGTGGGCCAACTGGCCACGAGAGTCGGGAACATAGAGGCCGAGTCCGACAAAAGAAAACTTCCGAGCCAGCCTGAGCAATCAAAAGCAATAACTGTGTTGAGGAGCGGTAAGAAAGTGGACAACAAAGTGAGAATGCCCGAGCCTGATGACCCTAAACCAACCGACCAGCCCAAAGAACCTGAGGAGAGTACGAAGAGCACAGAAACTGACTCGGGAAAACCAACAGAGAGTCCTTTGCTTCACAAGTCTCCAAACCCTTACAAGCCACGCATTCCTTTTTCGAGTAGACTCTGAGACGAGAAGCAAGAGCAGCAATTCCGGAACCTCTACAACATGCTTTCGAAGGTCAACGTGAACTTGCCTCTCTTAGATGTGATCAAGAACATGCCGTCATATTTGAAGTTTTTCAAGGATTTGGTCACCAAGAAGAGGAAGTTCGGCGATGGGGAGAAAGTAGTGGTCTATGAGGCGGCTAGTGCCATGCAGCATGATCTTCCGAAGAAAGAACGAGACCCCAGAGGATTCATGATAAAGATTGCTCTCGGGAATGGCAAAGAAGTCTCGGGGATGCTTGACCTCGGAGCGGGAATCAATCTTATGTTGTTTTCTATCTTCCAGCGGCTCGGTCTAGGAGATTTGAGACCAATCCGTATGTTCCTTCAACTTGTTGACCGTTCTATTCGATACCCCAAAAGAGTGGTGGAAGATGTTCTTGTTCGTGTGGGAAAGCTTATCGTCCCGGTGGACTTTGAGGTGCTCGATGTGGGGGACGTACATGAGAATGGGAAGGACCACACAATCCTTCTTGGCAGACCATTCATGGCCACCACCAACACACTCATTGACGTGAAGAATGGGACATTGAACATGACAGTCCTAGGAGAGTCCGTGTCCATTTCCGTCCGAGAAGCTACCTCAGCATCCTCGGTGAATTTTGTGGAGGAGTGTTCGTTCGTTGATGTGAGTGATCCTTTTATCGAGGAGATGGCCATACGAGACTTGGAAGAGAGGTCATTGCCCGATCTCGAAGAGGAAGAAGGACCGTTTATTGAGCTGATGGAGGTCGAGGAACCGAGACCGAAGGCCCCACCAACGCTAGAGTTGAAAGAGTTACCTCGTCACCTCAAGTACGTCTTCCTTGATGATGAGAAGCTAAAGCCGGTTATCATCTTTTCCGAGATTAATCGGGACGAAGAGAAGGAGCTGATCAAAGTGCTTAAGAAGAATCAAAAGGCCATTAGTTGGAACCTGGGTGACATTAAGGGCATCAGCCCTTCCACGTGTATGCACCGGATCATTCTAGAGGAGGGTGCCAAACCATTTCGGGATAGCCAACGTGGGAGGTTGTGAAGAAGGAGGTACTTAAACTTTATGCAGAGGGACTAATTTATCCAGTAGCTGACAGTGAGTGGGTCAGCCCGATCCATGTGGTGCCTAAGAAAGGGGGCATCACCGTCATCGAGAATGAAAAGAAAGAGATGGTCCCCACCCGTATCACTACCAGGTGGAGAATGTGCATTGATTACCGACGACTCAATGTCGTAACAAAAAAGGACCACTTTCTGTTGTCGTTCATTGATCAGATTCTCGACCGTCTCTCAGGCCACCAGTTCTATTGCTTCCTAGATGGCCTCTCGGGCTACTACCAAGTGGCCATAGCTCCAGAGGATCAGCCCAAGACGACCTTCGCGTGCCCATTCGGCACGTTTGCCTTCAGACGTATGCCCTTCGGCCTGTGCAATGCACCCGGGACCTTCCAACGGTGCATGTTCTCCATATTCTCCGACATGCTCGAGGATTGCTTACAGGTATTTATGGATGACTTCTCTATTTTTGGTACTTCATTTTCTAATTGTCTCCATAATTTATCTCGTGTTCTTGAGAGATGCATTGAGTCGAACTTGACCTTGAGTTGGGAGAAAAGTCACTTTATGGTGACTAGTTGAGTTGTGCTAGGGCATGTAGTGTCTAGTCGGGGGATTGAGGTTGATAAAGCAAAAGTTGATGTTATTGAAAAACTTCTCCCGCCGGTGAATGTGAAAGGTGTTCGAAGCTTTTTGGGTCATGCTGGCTTTTATAGGAGATTTACTAAAGATTTTTCAAACATTAGCCAGCCTTTGTGTCACTTGCTTGCCAATGATGTGCCATTTGTGTTTGATGATGCATGTTTAGGTGCTTTTGATATATTGAAAAATAAGCTTGTGACTGCTCCCGTTGTGATTGCACCTGATTGGTCCTTGCCATTTGAGATTATGTGTGATGCATTGAACCTTGCTGTTGGGGCCGTTTTGGGCCAGCGAGTTGATAAGTTACTTCGAGTAATTTATTATGCTAGTTTGACCTTAAACGGTGCTCAGTTGAACTACACCACTACCGAAAAAGAGCTATTAGCTTTGTGTTTTCTCTTGAAAAATTTAGGTCCTACATCATGGGATCTAAAGTGATTGTGCATTCTGATCATGCAGCTCTTAGGTATCTTTTGAGTAAAACTCAGTCGAAACCTAGGCTTATTCGGTGGATTTTATTGTTGCAAGAGTTTGATGTCGAAATTCGTGATAGGACTGACCACTTGTCTCGCATTGTTCCTTCCGATTCTTCGCTTGCATTGCATGAGCAATTTTGTATAAATGACGATTTTCCATATGAACATGCGAGTGAAGTAACTAGTGTTCCTTGGTATGCAGACATAGTGAATTATCTATCAGATGGTGTTTTGTTGGCTAACCTCTCTTCCCAAGAGAGGAAACGGTTTGTTTTGATGTGCAGGAGCTATTTTTGGGATGACCCATTCCTCTTCAAGATGGGGAAAGATGACATTCTTCGGAGATGTGTGCCCGAAGAGGAGCAATTGGATGTCCTTACCTTCTGCCACGAGCTTCATTGTGGAGGACATTATGGAGGTCGAAAGACCGCCTTTAAGGTTCTCCAATCAGGTTTATTCTGGCCTACACTTTTTAAAGATGCTTATGAATTTTGCAAGTCTTGTGAACGTTGTCAAAGAATTCGAAATATTGGCCCAAGGAATGAGATGCCCCTTGTGAATAATTTGCAAGTTTAAATCTTTGATGTATGGGGCATTGACTTCATGGGACCATTTCCCAAGTCTTTTGGCTTTGAGTATATACTTCTTGCTGTGGATTACGTGTCCAAGTGGGTCGAGGCTATCCCCACTAGGACATGTGATGCTAACGTTGTGATCAAGTTTTTGCAAAGTCATGTTTTGAGTAGGTTTGGATTTCCACGAGCTATTGTGAGTGACGGGGGCAAACATTTTTACAACCGAGTGTTTGAGAAGTTGATGAGGAAGTACGGGATTTCTCACAAAGTGGCCACCCCATACCACCCACAAACTTCGGGCCAAGTTGAGACGAGTAACAAACAAATCAAAACCATTCTTGAGAAGACGGTGAACTCGTCTCGAAAAGATTGGTCGAGCCGGCTCGATGATGCACTCTGGGCCCAACGCACAGCTTATAAGGGAGTTTTGGGGATGAGCCCGTTCCGGCTTGTCTATGGAAAGGCGTGCCACCTTCCGGTCGAGATCGAGCATAAGGCATTTTGGGCCATTAAGAAGATGAATTTTGATCTCGAGGCAGCCGGACGAGAGCGAGTGTTGCAACTCTCAGAGCTTGAAGAGTTGAGAAATGAGGCGTACGACAATTCCAAAATTTACAAGGACAAGGTTAAAAGGCTTCACGACTCGACCATTGTCCGAAAAAATCTCGTGCCCGGCATGAAGGTACTCTTGTTCAATTCTCGCCTTCGTCTTTTTCCGGGGAAGCTTAAGTCCCGATGGAGCGGACCTTATATCATTGATGAAGTGCTATCACTTGGAGCCATCTGACTCCGGAACCCCACGAACGGCGAGTTGTTTGTAGTAAATGGACAGAGGATCAAACAGTACTTCGATGGAGAATTTGGAAAGCACCATGTCGAGACTATTGGTCTCGGCGAACCACCGTATCCTTGATCGAACTTAGGCCGAGCTCCCGGCTTAAAACCGAGCACTTAATTGTACTATATGTATTTATATCTATTTATATTTTATTTATATATATATAAGTTTCTTTCATTCTTTTTTTTTTAAAAAAAAAAAAAAATTGGAAGCAGGCCTTAGCGCCGCTAAGGCCGAAATTATTAGTGTCGCTTATCAGGTTTTCTAGAACAGACACTATCAGCTAAGATGGGTTAGGGGGTTAGCGGCACTAACCCCTGTGACTTAATAAAAAAACCCGACGGCCAGACATTCACAGCAAACACACCACAATATTAATCTCTCTCTCTCTCGAGCAAACCGTAACCACGACCATCAAACTTTTCCAAAACCGCCATCTTCCGACCATCATCCTCCGGCCACCGTCCGTCCATCACCCTCCGGCGACCTATCTCCGGCCGTTTGCACCTGTGAATTCGAAGCATTCATTGTTCATCCAAACCGTACAACCCTAGCTCGCAGAAATTGCTCTTTCTCGGTCAAATTTCACATCACGAGGTACGGGTCGCTCTTCTATATTGTGAATTGGTCGATTGTTGAGGCGCGAGGAGGCCAACTCCGGGCTCGACCATCTCCAAATTTCTCTAAAGCCCTCAAGTCCGAACCCCGCACACCAAGTGTTCGACGAATTGCCCGAACTAAGTAATCATGGTTAACACCACCTATGCTTCAAAGAAAAAAGGTCCCGCAACTTCAAAGTCCAAAGCGGCGGCATCCACGAGCTCCAACCCCGACCCGGCAACCGAGACTCAAACCTTAAGGGAAATCCACCACATCCCATTCGATGCCGAGTCAATGGATGAGGTTACGGCATATCAACGGCTTACTTCCAAGCCGTTTCTGAAACTGCGAATAATCGATTGGGATTACTTTAATGACGAGCTCGAGATTGGAGAGGACATCAAGCAATACCTCAAGTTGCTCGATCTTGAGGAGTTTGAAGAAATGAAAGTCTACTCGTATCGGAGCTTGACCATCGAGTTCTTTAGCACGGTCGCTCGGCATGAGAATGGGAAATACCTCACGGCCCGTCTCGAGGGTAAAGAATACAAAATCACCGACAAGGTGCTACGTGACATATACAAGTTCAAGCCCTAGATCGCGACCCGTCACAGTCCCATGGGGTGGAAAGTCGACCCGCATTGGGCGGCCATTTCACCGTGCGAAAAGTATAAGAAGGCCGGCGCATCATCTGGATTAATCAGCGATCTCGCTCTTGTGGTGATTCACAAATACTTATCCCACATGATCTTTGGCAAAAAGGAGTTGAACAAAGTCAGCGAGCAACAGGTTTTTATTCTGTGGTCGATCTCCCACGGAAAATCCGTTAGTATGCTACAGTACTTGAAGGATTCACTCTTCGATGTGCGGAACGACTCTAGGCGAGGTCCAACCTTGGGCCATGTGGTAGCACAGCTCGCCGAGTACTTCGGAGTCGAGATTGAGGACCCCAAAATGCCTCCCACATATCTCTCCAAGAAATACCTTGCTCGTGACTTCCTCATTAATGCTACCACTCCACGCCCAGTCCACCAACGGGAGAGCTACAAGGCCTACTGCAAAGAAATGGGCTTACCTGTACCGGACGACCAATCCCAGACGGGATCCGGTACATCCAATGGTGCAGCCCGATCGGCCTCCCATGACAAGGACGATAAGGACTCCGAGGCCCAGACACAGCCCGATCACGGCACCTACCAGCCCCCGCCAGCGATGGGCGACTACCCGAGCGCATTTTCACAGCAGCCTCCCACTTGGTTCTCCACGTTCCAGACTCGATATGATGAGAAACAAGCTCGGTATGAGGAGAACCAGGCCTGGAATGATGAGCAGTATCGGGCCATCCATTCCGCAGTCGCGTCGCACAATGTGCGACTCGACTCGTATATAAAGAAGAATGATGCCCGTTGGACGTCCTTCGTGGCGACCAACGACGAGCGTTGGGCGGAGCAGCAGAGGGAGTGGAACGAGTTCAAGAGGATCAACGAAGCGCACTGGACTGCCCATGACAGCCGATGGGACACCTGGAAGGCGCAGCAGTACCAGCATCCACCATCGCCACCACCGAACGCACAGTGACTTGTCACTGTGCTTTGTACGCTTTTCTTTCTCTTTCTCTTTTATTTTTGTATAGCTTCTTTTATTTCGTGTCGAGTTCATTATATGG